TTTATCAAATTATTCATATTATAATACTGCCATATAACTTATAGACCAGCAGTTCTTAATCTTTAATTTCAACTTTTTGTTTACCACAAATTTTTTTTTAAATTTTTTAAATTTAATTTAAGATTTAAACTCGTAATGTGCATCCTATGTATATAAATTAATACGCAGTGTTAAATGCATATCCATAATAACATTTTAAGTTTTATCTTGGTCACTCAGTTGTGTAATACTTTATAGATCACAGGTTAAGAACTGCTGACTTAGACTGCTATGTATGAATGTATATGTATGTGAATAAGTGTAAATTATGTACACAATGTATAGAGTGAAAAATGATAACATAAGAATGAATGTCTGCATAAAAACATAATAACGAAACGATTTGAAGATTTAAAATCGTAATCATACTGTAAAATTTATATAAAAGTGCCTTTTATCTCATGACAAATATTTATAATTTTTAATTATATTTTTTAATACAAAATTTATAAGATATATGTACTTTTTTAGAAAATTTCACTTAATTATCGAATTTAGAAATTTAGTAATAGATTCTTATTTTAATATATTATTTATTAAACATTTTCATACATTAATAAATTTTTAATAATAAATAAGGCACATTTTAATATGTGATATTGTAAAATCTAATGTTTGCAATTATGTTAACGAATAATATTCAATTGTTTTCTTTACAAGTCTTCCTGATTTTCATATGTTTTACTTTTTATAAAAAAAAATGATTTAAAAATGTATGTAAAATTGTATAAATGTAAAAAAAAAAGCAAAATGTATAGTAGTAAGTTAAATTCATTTTACAACTTATAAAAAATATGATCCCCAAGATTTCTTTTTAAAAATATAAAATATTTATAAAATTTTACTAAATAGAATAATTTTATTTTTCTAAAATATAATTTAAATTAATAAAAATATAATTAACAAAAAATTCATTAAAGCTTAAATCAATATTTTAAATATATTGAAAAATTAATTTTTATAATACATAATATTAAATAATATTAATTATAGTAATGAAAACTTAATTTACAATTTTCAGAGCACTGTATTTTTTATTTATATTTAAAACAAATATCATATATAATATACATACATAAATAATAATATTGATTTCTGATCAATGAAAATTTAAAATATAATATAATAAATATTATTATTACAAAATAATCATCTTATCATATGATAAATTATATAATTTTCACTGCCATTGATTATAATAAAAATAT